TCAGCTTTAACCAAAAAATGTTGAACTCTCCATGACATAGCCCCTTTGAGGCACTAAGACTTAGTGACCTTTGACACAATATCAAAATTAATTTTCCAAATACTTTACAATCTGATACAATGTAATAATATCCACAGTCAGGCCAGGTCAAGGGTACCCCCAAGATTACATTAATGAATCAATTAATCAAAAGTTGAATCTGTTGGTAGTTGACGATTTCCGATTCATCTCTGCATTCTCGCATGCGTAATGAGTTGTGAGTTCACACATGAGGTAGTTATCAAATTTCTACCCACTCAGTTTCCTTGAATTTGATGTAAATGTCTTCGAAGCAGTTTATGTGTAAGTAAGTATTAATTTTTGTTAATATAGTTGTTCACAGAGTTGACACATACAAATGTACAATAAATTGATCACCCTTCCGGAATTCATGTTACACTGAATAGTTTTATGGTTTAATAGGCGAATAGACCTTAACTTAAATTCTTAATGCATCACAAAATATTCAGGGTTCATCTAGTCTTTTGGATGCACTATTAAAGACTGGACTAGACTTTTTTCAGGTCTGGAAAAATAGTTTGCATCTTTCAAGACTTTTTCAAGAATTAAAAGACTGTATGAACCCTGAATATTACAGCTGAAATGATCATCAATCTACGTCTTTATTCTACAGAACAATAAAAAGTCATTTGACAATAACCTACCCTCAAACCCCAACAAAATTTAAGTATGTGTATAAAGAAAGTTTCAGGAAACATCACCGAAAAGTTCTTGGCACACCACATTGTATCGTAGTTAAAAATATTACATAAATTTTGTGGCTTTATCATAACATGTACAGAGAGTAATGTCAATATTCAGCTTTCTCAAGTGAAAGCAAGGGGGTAGTGGGTAGGGTTAAAAGAAACAAAGTTGTTATCCACAGAACTGGAATGGGACAGATGTGTATAATTATGTTGTGGTTTAAATTTTTCCTTGGTTTAAAATTTTTCAAACCAGTTTAATTTTTGGTTTTCTTTGTCTCTGATTATGGTAATTGATTATAGACAAAAGAAAGTAAAAATTAAACTGGTTTTAAAAATTTTTAACCAAGGAAAAATTTGAACCACAACATATATATGACTCTTGTCATCAGTTATGCAGCATTCTCCAGATAAAGAGCTTGACACTTCAGTTGTTAATAACTTGCCCCATACATGTAGCTGACTGAGCTGAGAGGAAAATCATCTTAGATAATTATATGACAGTCTTGTCCTGAGTTATGCAGCTTTCTCCAGAAAAAAGAGCTTGACACTTCAGTTGTTAATAACTTGCCCCATACATGTAGCTGACTGAGCTGAGAGGAAAATCATCTTAGATAATTATATATAAATGCCTGAATGAATCTATGCCATTCTGAAGTTCGTTCCAGTTCTACAAAATACATGTATTTCATGATGTTCTCAGCAAGCAGCAGTGTCATTTGACTTCTAAATCTTCTTACATCTATGTTGGATAACAAAAAAAGAAACTGAAAAGGAAGCAAAATATCCATGTTAACTTAGTTATTATTGACCACTTACATGTACATGTATGACATGTATTAAGCAGTCAGTTTTACAGCTTGCCATTTGGGCAAGCTGTGCGGTGTAGGTAGCTTGTACTTGACTAAATGTCATTTCAGCTAGCATGCAAAATAAGTTTATGATGAGCATTGACTACAGTTCTTCTGTAATTTGAATTCCCCCTAAAATATTTCACATGCCTGTTGGACAAGTTAAGAACAGAATTCTCCAGCCCAATAGCAAAGTCCACCAGGGACAGGCTATTGAACAGTACTTTCCTTGCATACTGTAAAGTACAGTACAGTATTATGTTGCAGTTAAAATTAATGCATTTCAGTTTAAGATGATTTTCATTTGCATGCCATTTGTAGTTTCATTGGATTTCAGGCAACTGTTTGCATGAAATGTTAAAAAGTCCGATCTAAATTATGGCGTTTAATGTTTCTGACTGACTGGCCGAGTACATGTACATGTATATTGTACAGTTAAGCAAACAAACAATCATGAGAACATATTATAATAGCACTAAACAAATTATGTATGTTTAAAAAGCAACTTACCATTTAACATTAAGCACTAGCTAATTCTGCTGGTAGAGTCGCTTTGGGGTGCTTGCTCTCAAAATGCTGTTTGTATGTCTTTGGGTCAGGCATCTGAGACTGAAAAATATCATTTAGTGATAACAATACCATAATTTAACCACCTTACAGCAAAGAATGATTAAAATTTAATCATTAATGTGAAAATATATCAAGTCTGCAATCCATTATTTAGAAAGGTCAGGGCTCTAAAGTAGACAGCTAGGATGTAATTTAAGAATGTATCTTAGCGATCGAGTAGCAAGGTTTTTAGCTGCTTGCTGGCACTTAATGAGAACCCTAGCCTAACAGTCCTTTGTAACGGTTTTGTCTCCTGAAGTGTTACTAGCAACTAATATGAAGACAAAGTTAGAATTCAGGTCAGTATTATATGACTACTGGGAATAATTCCTTAAAATATTGGTAAATTCTCAAAGTGTTTCGAAGGAGGCCAAGATATGGCTCTTCAAAGTTGCGAAGTTTCACAGTAAGTATCACAGAGGAGTAAGTCTGTGCCCCCTCCCCCATCTCATACTGGTTTTTGTAGAATTATTTTTTGTACCCCATCAACAGTTGAAAAAAACCTGGAAGGGTTTATTTCCACAAAATCTTTGCCAAGTTGTGCAATCTTAGGCTTGCAAAACATGACTGTTTCATTATTGAGAAATAATGCAATCAACTGTACCCTGCTTGAATTAAGTTTTTTCCTCTTCTACTATGAATTTTCTGCAGAGCCCTGACATACCTTGCAAACACTACAAGTGAAGATCAAGGCCTTCAGCGCAGCGCCTTTTTGATCATGACTTTGAGCCTTTTTTAACTTCTCCTGCTTCTGTTGATTTTTTTGCTGTGATTGAAATTTTTGATGACCACGAGCCATTGTTAACAAGACTGCAACATAGATAAACAGTGCATGCATGTAGTTACACTTATGTTAATGCACAAAGCATTGCTTATCAGAACATTAAGTAGATATACATATTTCCCTGAACAAATGCTTTTGGTCACCAGGAGATCTCTCTTTTTATATCATAATTATGAAAGTGTACTGTGTAAATCAGTACAATATGCTAACAGTGAATGACAGGGATTTCATTTCTGACTGGACACAAGACGCAACGTCCACACCCATGTTTTTGTTTGAAAACAGACATTATTTTTTCTCCAGTTTGGCCTACTGCCCACATGTATCTGGTGAAAACGATCCCCAAAAACGTATCTTTTCAAAAATGCTCTCCAGGGTTGAAATCTTTGAAGACACCAGCTTTTTGTTTACGTGTGGATGGGCGAAAACGGAGATTTTCTGACCATGATGTCATACATCATAAATACATCATAAATCATATTTCCATCGTTTTTAATAGCGTTTTCATGTGGACAAGCGAAAATGATTTGAATACAGTATGTGTGGATGTGTATTTCTTTTTAATTTTCAAAAATATCTGGATACATGTGGACAGGGCCTAAAAGCATCACCACTAACTGGACTGGACATGCAAGTTACTATCTGTTAATCATCTCTCATCTGGGATTCGCGCACTCTTTCCGAATGGAATTTGTTTGGGAATCAACTTGAAAATGGACAACTACAAACAAAATGAAATACAATGCCAAATCAAATATTTCTTTTTTAGTGAGCATTTTTTATTGCCTTAGAAAACATCCAGATTAACCAATTCTAGTAGAGGGAATGCAGGAAATTGCATTTTAGTGAGTCCAATTTTAAAAATTTCCCAGGGGAGCATGTCCCTGGACCCCCAGCCTTGAAGTTGGTTTTGCATGGCTCAAAGTAACAGCGGGTCAAGAGACAATAGTGAGCTTAAGCAGCGACGTTTTTGAGCGACGGACGTCAACCGGAAGTGGACTTTTTGCATCATTGGGGAGCGGTTTGGTTGAAACGCTCAGGTAAATCGTCTTTAAAAGAGAAAAGAAACTCAGCAATACACGTTTGTTAGCGTCAAGGCATATAAAAAGGGAGAAGGCCTCACTTCCGGTTGACGTGCGTCGCTCAAAAACGTCTTTGCTTAAGGTCCCTAATGTCTGGCCACAATGGTTCAGTGACCGGCCAAAAGCTTCTCTCACTGGTCAAGTCATGCACACTCTCATTCATAAACAAACAGTCAAATTCGGTAAATCTTAGATTTTCTCCCTTGCAAAATCACAATAGAAAATTACTCACGAAGCTATTTAGAAGAGGGTTTTTATAGTGATTGATTTTTTCAGAGTGTACTGTGTACACAGCTTCATTAATGTTACATAATGTGGATTTCAATTCATAAATTTTAACTTCGTGACACCATTTAACATCAAAAACTGTACAAATTTTCACATGCAAGAGGAGGCCCGGATACGAATGTGTAATTCTGAGTGCATATTGCATACAATGACGGCGTTATAGATAGATAGATAGATAGAAACTTTATTAAAGTGTCAAAGCCGTCTAGCCAGGGAAAAAAGAATCCCTTACTAATTTGTGGACACCAAATATTGAATATTCTACATCAACATCTAACAATACGGAGAACTCTATCGAGCAATAGAAAATTCGAAATATATTACTCATTTTTATAAAACGTTTTCATTCAAGAACAAGTTTCATTACGATACGTCGGCTCATTCGGCAATTTTTAGCATGAAATTGGAATATCGACCGACATGAGCAGCAGAAAGACAAAGTCTACTGATATTTACAACTTTTCAACCGCGCTGGCCACATTTGAAACATGTTTCAACAACATGAATGAAAAAAACACTTGTTATTTACCGACAGGTACCTACCTGGAAACTATAAACACTAGTAATCGCCAAACTCAACCAGAGAGAGCTGTACTTTTTCAATACAGCCTTTTCTAACAAAATCGAATGTGCGTGACGTCATAAGATCCAAAAATCCTTGCAAGCGCCGCCTTCCCCCACCACCCCCAGCCCCCGCGCCTAATTCCTCTTGGGGAGGGGTAAACTATAATCAAATAAGTTTTCAGTGGTGGAGTGAAAAAAAGTTGGAATTTGGGGGTGAAGGTAAAATAAAATAATTCATGCAATCTTTGCCTTAAGTCCTCAAGGGGTCAATTTTATCATTCTTCAGGGTAAGTTCTCACTAGAGAAGAGCTGGGGTAGGGTGGTGTTAGTCATTTGCTGGAACAAAGTGAACGCTGTTGTGAGATACAATCTACGAGGTATGTTTTACTTTTTTGTGAAGTAGTTAAAGTTAAACCCAAACTGTCCCTTCTTTTATACTTTTGGATATAACTGTAGCAGTTAACGATGTTTACAGTCGCATGATGTTTGATTTTCAAAATTTTAAGCTAGCTTACACGTGCACTCGTACTTCTGTTTGATCATCTGACAGCCGTGGAGGCCATTTCCGAGTACTAGTGTTTGTGGGAAACAATGGGTAAAGACGAAATGTGTCACATAGAAACGACATAAGTTCCATCAAATAAATTGCAAAAGGTTTCATTAAAAGGGATAGCTATTATAGTCCAAGGCGAGTAGCGTATATTATTTAAAGTGGACAGACTGCAAATTATAGTAATTGCTAAAAGATACATCTAAGTGTCGTAACCGTTCATCAGTAGGATGCCTAAAATGTGTGCAATATACAAAGCAAATATTGAATAGATAGATTTGTGGGTCAATGTCAGCAGGCAGTACTGCGCCCATTCCCCCCTGCAACCGTGGGGCATTATCATGCAGCCCCAGAGGTGTTTAACTTCAGAAAGGATTTTCTCGACAGCATTTTTTTTCTTTCAGGGAAGCAAAAATGGAATGGTGATAACCTTTTCCATGCTGTTTCTTAACATCGGCGCACTTAAATGAGCTTAGTATATCAAAGGCTGGTCATTCGATCACGAAATTGCTTGACACAATGTCTGCGGCTTGTCAGTGGTCAAAAGGAGAAAGGTTAGTGCTTGAATGATGTCACAAGTTCTAAATTGTAAGTGTTTCCTTTGCTACAATATTGATCTCTCTCTTTCTCACTAGGTCCTTCTCTCCAGTTTTCCTCAGTTGCTTATATTTGGGGAGCTGGGGATGGTGGACAGTTAGGCACTGGAACCCATGAAACTAGTCTCCTGCCAATCAAATTTCCTGTTTCTGAAGAAGTAGGTTCATTGTTTTTTTATTAGTTAGTTGGAATAAAAAGTTTTTGTATTAACAAGGCTTGTTAATAAAGTAACTTTTTGTTTTAATGAACTATCGAACAGTTGGTCTCTTTTCACGAAAAGATGTGGATGTGATCTATCCAACCAAAATTCAGACCTGTTAGACCGGAAAAAATGTTCCACCTCAAAAGGTGGACCAGTTTTTTAGAAATTTTTCCAGTTGGACCGAACCAACCCATTGAGTTTTGGACCGAAATTTCTGGAAATTTTGGTTGAATGGATCACATCCTACATCTTGGTGTATGAGTACAGTCATTTTGTGAACTTTCACAGGATTTCATATCCATGTAAATGACTAAAGTCAGTCACTAGCAGTTTCTACTGGACAAAACATGGACCGGGTCCATGGACAGTTTTTTTTTAATAACGAGAAATGAACAAAAACAGAAATAGTGCAAAAAAGGTTGAAAAAAAAAACAACAACAGCAACAACAAACAATGCTTGATTGTCCATGAATGTCACTTTTTCCTGCAATGTTTTGTCACGCTGGGCCCAGCTCCTTAGCACTGTTAGCAGGACGATTATAAATTCTCACAGATTAAGTGATTTACAGATCCAGATCTCGAAGAAGAAGAAGTGGCATGGATTGTAGCTTAAACTGAAGCTACATCAACTATGGAGAACTGCGATGTGACTCAGTCATGATTCCTCTAAAAGCAATGAATTCTTAACTCCAGCTTGATTTTCTAAGGGTCCGCAAGTCTTTGTATGGGAGCGCATAATTCCTCTCCTGGTGATAACTTTTGAATTAGCTTAATTTAACAGTCTTGCGACTGCACATGTGCAAGCAGAGTGTACGTCATGTAAGCACAACTAAATATTTGTGATCAATCATGAGCATTGGTCAACAGTGTCTCGTCAAATCTTTTTTTGGCACTATTTCTGTCCATGGACCTGGTCCATGACAGGGGGTCTATGGACCCCTGGTCCATGTTTTGTCCTCACGTGTTTCGACTCGCAAAAATGGTATGAGACCATTTGAACAGTTGGTATCTTTTCACGAAAAAATGAGTACATACATGGATATGGTCAGAGGCATATAACCCCTTTTATATGCTTCTGATATGGGTCATGTTAACCCTTTAAGTCCCAATATCCACATACAAATTCTCCAAACTGATCTCTATACATTTCCTTAAAGAATGAGTCAAGAGAATTTGATAAAAGATCAAAGCATTTTCTCTTAGGTGATCATTTTATTAATTCTCATAACCTAATCTCTTCACATTGTATGGATATCGTGAGGAGAAAATTGATGTTGGTCACTATTGGGACTTAAAGGGTTAATAGCGCAACATTCTACAACACTTTGATCATAGTTACTCGTCAGTTCTCAGGGCTGGCCACTTCTAGGGAATTAAATCCATGTCATTGGCAAAGAGCTCTCTGATTACAAATATTAATTATTTTTACTGGCATGGTATTGATGGAACTGTATCTAGTGACAGAAATTCATGAATACAATGTACAAAAATAACATAATAATTTAGTACAATGCAATCAGGTTTCATGTATAGGATGTGGTTATGGCTTCACTTTGGCGGCTGATACAAGCAGTTCTCATATTTGGACTACTGGTTTGAATACATTTGGACAGCTTGGAAGGCAACTCACTTGTAACAACTTAAAAGGTGATATATCTCCCAATTACTTTTTTCTTCCTTTTTCCCACAAGCATCTAATTATCCAGCAATGTATAAGTTAGTAAAAATGTAAAACAATAATAATGAAAATGATCGGAAGACAATAAAGGTTTAAATGAGACTGGCAAAAAAGAAAACCAAGGAATCATTTTTTAAGATAGTCACATGAATACCCTGTTAAGTTACAACATTTAGATTTGTGAACAAAAGCCAGTGAATAACCATTCAAGAGAAACACCTAAATACTACTGTCACCTGGAGCTAAATTGATTCTTGATTTTTTTCAACACACATTAGTAATATTAATTTGTAAAATTGTAATTTGTTGACCCTAATGGAGCACTAATAGGAGTTCTTAAGAACTTGTTGAGATGAGTCTGTGAGTGTTCCAGATTGAATTGAAATTGAAAGTGTCGGTTGGGAGAGGGGAAAACCAGAGAACCTGGAGAAAAACCTCTTGGAGCAAGGGAGACCTGACTCAACTGCGGCACCCTTTGCTCCCGGCATAATTAATAATAGTTTAAAAAATATTTTTTTAATAACTTTTGCTCACTGGCTTTAAGGGTTTTGCTTTGAACAAGAGTTTTGTAAAGTCACGTGATAGTTGTTATCCAAAAGAATGCTAGATTTTACATGTGCTCATTGTACGGTAGTTTGCAGTGAAGTGAATCTTATAGATTACACGTCATTTGTTTACGTTTAACAAAGACTGTTTGGTCACAGAACAAAGACACAATTACAATTAGTTTTAATGGTTAGAGTGTTATAATTTTCCAGAATCTGATGAAAAACCAGCTGCTGTCAACATCCATGTAGCTACATTGCCATCCAGAGTTGAGCAGATATCCTGTGGAAGATCACATTCTGTTGTGTTATTGACTGATGGCGAAGGTACATGCTTACTGCTGCAATAACTGTAGCATCACTACTATATATACCACTAGAGAGCTACTTTATTCTGTTTTGTCTTTGTAACAGATTTGACTGATGTGTAGTTTCAGAAAATATCCATACTCCATGCACCAAAGGGATTGGAAATTCCTGGGGTGTGGGGGGTTCTCAAAGGCCCCCAAATTTAAGTAAATGCATGAAGCTTGACTGGAATTTCCAACAAGGTGGGGGGTGTTAGGAAAAATCCCTTCCATGGGGGAGGTATGGATAATTTTTGAAACCACACAATGGGTCAAGATAGCAGATTGGAGAAAGTTATTGTTCAAGTTGTCTCAACAATTTTGTGAGAGATTTTAGCTTTAATTGGGTATTAATGCACATAGTTATTCTGGATGGCAATTTACTTCAGTTGATATTAATATTAGAGCAAATAAATCTGTGCTTGGAAAAAATTCTAAATAGTCAATGAAATGAATGATTTTTATGCACCAGTTCTAAGTTGTGGAGGTAACTATCATGGTCAGTGTGGAGTTGGAGATCTGGGTTCAAAGTTAATCAGACAATTTACAAAGATACCAGACATTCCAGGAAGGATTGTACAGGTACTATGAAACAATATGCATACATTTATATATGAATTAAATCTCTGACCTTGGATCTAACTCCTTACCCTTTTATACACCATTTTTGACAGACAGGGTATCCCTTTCATATACCTTCTAATGACAAATGGAGCGCTTTTAAATAGCTAGTTTAGAGCTTTGCATCCCTTTTAACCACTGCCTATGCACTTTCTACTTAATATTGAATAAAGCACAAGACCAGAACTTTTTCTGGGTATTTGTATAGCCAAAAATGCATCTTTAAGCCCTTTATAGGGACGTTTTACAACCAAAATGATTTTGCAGGGCCCCATTTAAACCAGCCTCTCTGAACTAAATAAATAAATAAATTTCTTTACCCTTTCATATACTTCAACTAGTGAAATCTCTTCCCTTTCACATACCTCAGACTCCTTTTGGATGGAGCCTCCCCATATATGGGCCACTATCCCCCCTGGGTCTCTGTCAAGATGGTTAATATGGTGTCTTACAACCACAGATTCTCATTTGAACACAAGTTCAGTTGCAAGAATGAACCTTTGTATTATTAATTATTTTTGTGCTATTGTCTATCCACAGATAGCATGTGGTATGGACCACACTCTTTTGTTGTCAGACGAGGGAGAAGTGTTCTCTTGTGGTTGGGGTGCCGATGGACAAACTGGTGAGCACGCAGAATGTATTTGCCAGGGTAACTGGTTTGTGAGAACTGGCTGATAACAGTTAGTGGCTTGCTTATTCGAGGTGGGCGCTTATTTGAGGCTGGGCACTTATTAAATTTTCACCATTTTTTTTTGTTTTGACCTGCCTGCTTCATCCAACTGGCTGTTTACAAAGCTAACTGTTTTTTTCTGTGCTAAGTGATCAAGAGCTCTTGTCTATGAAAGTATAGGTAATGGGAACAACCTGATGATGGCAAGGTTTTCATTAAGGGCTAAGGATGAGGATTGTTGTTGAAGTTAGTAATGTAAGGTCCTTGTTGCAGGTTTAGGTCACTTCCATAATGAGGCAACATTTAAACCAATCCAGGGAGCACTGAAAGATGTTAGGATAAAACAAATTGCTACTTCAGCGGACTGCTGTTTGGCTCTGTCAGGTATTAACCTCAGTATAATAATAAACATCATTTTGCTCTAAAAATATTTCGCGATTTCTGATTGGTTATTTCCCCGGCTAATTCTGCATAACCAGCGAATGCCGGAAGATGTGAGAAATTACTATGCAATCATTGACGTCAGTCACACTGATGTCATTGGTGTATATTGGTACTATTCAAACATTGACATCATACACGACTACAGAAGTTTAAAAAAATGACGAAAGGATTCATAGCGGTGTTTTAATAGAGTAAATAGTATAAATAACCGAATTACTGACTAAAAATAAGCAGAGTGAATGCATGAAACACGCAAAAATATTGTTTGATGGATTTCATCTGCTTTCTCTGAGGGATATATGTAAATAGTAAAAAACACCCGTTCATATTCTGATAAAACAGTAATTGTTTTGAAGAAAGTCTACGAGGAGGTAAGAATGTTAAGAACTTAGAAATTTTTTTTGAATGAATGATAAAAAGAGTCTTGAAATTGGCCCGTGTGATATATGCACATCTCGGAGTTTGTTATCACAGAGGCTGAAGGCCGAGGTGGATTACAGCTTCCGAGATCTTCAAAATTCGTATCATACTCAGCCTCATTCAGTAATTGATGAAACACATATATTTAGTAGTCTTAAAGAACTGACATATGGAAATAAATGTTTCTTTCAAAACTAAACTAGTATCAGGGGCACCCGACGACTTTTTTCTGTAAAATATCTGTTCGGAGAAGCAAATATCGCCTAGAATTTTCTATTACTTTAGGGTGGCTAAAAATTTCTAGATGACTGTTCCATTTAAGGAACAATTTTCGAAGCTTATCTAATAAATCCCCTACGATTTTCTAAAGTGTAATTTTTCACTCCTCAGGATAGGCTATTTTTCGTAGAAAAAAGGCAACCTTAAATTTTCGGATTAAAAAATGTTATGAAGAGAGATATTAGAAAAAATCTCACTTTCGTAATACGTTAAATTACATCTAAAATTTTCGGTGAAACAAAACTGAAGCCCTTGAAATTTCGAAAAGACTCAACTTCCCCTACGAAGACCTAACAGATACAAATTTTATAGCGCCGCTTAGAATGCATTTCTAGAGATCTAAGAGTACTCTGGAAAGCCCAAAAAGACGTTTTAATGCATTTAGGAAGAAACCGTCGTTGGGTGCTCCTGTAGTATGAGGGACCCCAAGATACCGTTTTATGTTTCTACAATTGTAAATACATATTTTAGTTGAAGGGGAAGCTTTTTCTTGGGGAAACAACGAGTATCAGCAACTGGCAACGGGAAGTGATGAAGAACAGGTAGGTATATGCAACTTACAAGTCGCCTACTACAACTTTCACAAGCCGGTCTTGCTTTACTCGCCATTCCTGTTTATTACCCTTCTTCTAATCTTCGTTAAAGAGTTAAAAGGAACATATGTCCGACAATGTTGGCTGAATAAGACTGAATTTTCTACCTGTGCAACCCCTTTACGCGGAACTGTTCAAATTCTGTTACACATTGCAGAACTGTTTATCGCTCAAAAATTTGCTTTGTTCTTCGAGTACCGTGTAAACGAAAGGCGGATCCGTGCACGTTTTTTCCGTTCAAACGTTTGTCCGGACTAGTGTAAACGGGGCTAAACAATCTCTTTAAAGGAGCTGTTTCGATGATACTTTGTGTGTTTACCCATGCACAAAAGGCTCTTTTAGAGTTGTGAGGAATAGCTCAACAAATTTCATCAGAAAGCACTAACCATAATATTTTTTGTGATTTTGCCGGCATAGCATTAAAACTTGTAAACGCTGGCGCAACTTTGTAAAGTTTCAATCCATGTCCATCCTTGCCATCGATGGTAACAGATAACAAAGCTGGACCATTATTTTTTTTCTGAAAAGATAGCAAATAGCGTGGAATAGCCCTTTAATTGCGGTGCAATCTTTAGCTGCAAAATGAGTCTTAATTAGTAATATTGATCTTTCAAGTCATCATGTACGACCGCCGGCAGGATTTCGTGTGACATAAGTATATTTATTGGGGCACTGTACATTGTATTAATAGCAAACGGCAGAGAAAAATACAAAAAAGTGACCATCTCTCTCGGAATCATTTCAAATTCATGATTATGCCTGCCCTTGTTTGCCACTGTATTACTCAACCTTTCTACTGCTGTTTTTTTCAGCTTGCTGCCCCCACAAGAGCTAAATTATTGAAAAATTTACCCCAAATTAAACAAGTTTCTGCTGGTGGTTCAAACTGCGCTGTTGTCACTGGTGGGTAAAACACAGTGTTTTGATGCTTTATCACAGGGTGCTCAAGAAAGTTAAAAAACGTTGTTTACATGATTTTGAAATATTCAGGACAGTTTTGATTTATTGCCAAGTAAGGCATTTTCCAATCAAAACCCAAGATGTCATTGGAAGGCGGAGCTAGTCATAGCCTGCGAAAACATCCGTTTCTCCTCGCTCTTCGTCGCTGAGGACGTTTCGCGCGGAGGAACGTCTGTGATAGCCTCCCACGCAGACGTTCTTACGGGTTCGTCACGCAATCATTCCTCCCCCACGTGGGGCAGGAACGCGTGACGATCCCCTAAGAACGTTTGCGTAGGAGCCTACGTCTGCGACTCAGGGACAGAAATTCCAAACTGATGACGCAAATCAATGTTTACATAATAAATCCGGTAGTCATGGGGTTCCAAATACAAATTTGTCTAATTTTGCGTGTGTTCTGGTCGATTTTGGTAAAGTGTTGTGTTGATCTGCCCACGAGCTCCAGCAAAACTCAAATGCTTCTTCTAGAGAAGACTATATTCCACAAATATTGACTGTTTTGTTAGAGATTCTTCGCGTTTACGGTTGATCTTTGTGGCCTTTTGTCTTTTGTCTGTCATTCATAAACAATAGCTAAAACAATGGATTCCGGATTCCGGATTCCGGATTCCGGACAGATTTTACGTCATCAGTATGGAGTTTCTGTTGCTGAGTCGCAGACGTTCCTCCGCGCGAAACGTCCCCAGCGACGAAGAGCGAGTAGAAGCGGATGTTTTCGCAGGCTAGGCTAGTCATGGGACTCTATAGTTGCATTTGTACTTCTTCGGGATGCCCAGGATCCCAATCCGTTCTTGGAGTATAACTGGCTCTGTATAATTTGTACGTATTCACCAAATTGCTCCGCAAAGATTTGTCCAGTAGGACTAGTGGTAACGGTATCACAATCTTCACTATAACAACACTTTACTGATTCGTAATAAAGATTAACTTTGAACCCTGCATTCTTGTTTGTTTTTTTGTTTGTTGATTTGTTGTTGATGTTTTTCAGAATCAGGAGACGTATACAGTTGGGGGTACGGTGTCCTTGGTCACGGCAGAGAGGTTTCATTTACTAAGACACCGAAGAAGATACAAGAGTTTGATAACATAGACGAACCTGTTGCTCGAGTATGCTGTGGCCCGGACTACATGACTGTTATTACAGGTTGGTAACCTGTGCAGCCATTTACTTAAAAAAATAGTCACAACGCAACAATTACATGGAGCCTGTAAACTGTCTTCATCTCTGTTTATCTTTTAGTGTAGTAGTTGTACTTGTTTGCGTTCCTTGTGACCTTTTAGAGTAGTCAGGTAAAAAGTACGTTTCGATTAAGGTCCAAATTTCAAAAGAAGTGTGGCAAGTTTTTATATTGTAGAAAAACGTCCGCTATAGAGATTTGACTCTTTCCACCGATGCCGACTGCGTTTGACTCCACCCTTTTTTTTATGGGCTAAGTCTGTTGTTGGACGGGGATTCTTTCTTGGTTTGGGAACTTTTTTTCCCGATACTCCCGTGTTGTCGTCTTCTGGAAAACCAACAACGAGTTCCTAACAGCTCTGAGGTATTTTGTGGGTAAACGAAGTACAATTACACTATCACTATTGCTATGTATAGCCAACTCTTTGCCTCCAATCAATTCTCCCAACGAAAACCAGTGGGAACGCGTCAAACTGCGAACGGACTTCGCTAGGCGGGAAAGGTAGGTCATGGGTCAGGAGAAATACGCGCGTGTTCAGTTATTTTTGTTTTGACTGAAATGTGGCACTTGCCACAATCTTCTACCACCTTGTTCAACACCTTCCTCAAAATCAAACTAGCAGACAGCTGGCCCGGAGATGTGGGGGATGACGCCGGGAGTACATCCGAAATTATGAAGCCCAAGAAGGGGTCCCCCCCGGACTATTCGACATGGTCGCGGCTAGATGGAATCCCTCACAAAATTGAACGAAAATCCTGCCAAACGCACTTTAGCCAAACTCATGTTAAAGAGCTTCTGGGGAAAATTTGGCTAGCAGTCCAACAAATCACTTTCCCCGCCAAGTTTTAACAACTTCTCGACAATGACGTAATTCAAATCCACAGCGTGAGAGTGGTCAATCCTGAAATGCTAGAGGTGGTCTACAACAACATTGAAGAGGCAAAGCCATAGAGCCCAATATCTTCATTGCTTGGTTCACTACCTGTCATGCTCTCCTCAGGCTATACTGGCTAGGCCTCTCCGTGCTCAACCCTGAAGAGGTGATATACATGGACACCGACAGTATTATTTACAAGCGGCGCCCAGGTGTCACCAAACTACCCATTGGCCTATATTTGGGGCAGTTTAAAGATAAATTGGACGGAAATGACGTCATCCTTGAATTTGTTGCCACAGGTCCCATAAATTACGGGTCAATTCGCGTTGCCTAGATGCCGTAGTTCATTAATATGCAAACTTTGGTCACATGACCTAAATGCTGGCTTCTGACTGGTCATGACCCAAAACGGACCCCCCCCGGCTACTCATGTATGTCACTTGAAGCGTTAGTTAGGAGGCCGAAATGACCGGTGGAAGGTGTCGAGCAACAGCGGTTTCGTTTTCTTGAAGTTTGACTATTATTTTGTTCCCAGATTCTGGATCACTGTACACCTGGGGAAGAGGGTCCTTCGGCAGACTCGGACTTGGTTCTACTGAAGATCAGTGGATTCCTAAAAAGGTGTGTTTGATCTTTCGTACCTAAATTAAACCATCACAGTCCTTTTTGTACTGCGATGTGTGTGTAGGGTGAGGCGGGGGGTAGAAGGGAGGAGCAAAATACATAAAAGTACTTGATGTACCGCTACTTTCTTTCCCTTGAACACAAGGTGACTCAGTGAGTTACTTAGGTCATGTTTATTGTAGCAGCTCTTTCTCCGTGTCATTCTTCATCAATGCCGAGTTGATTTTGAAGTCACTTTTGTACTGAACGTTATTGTGGACCTGCCCGCAGCTAGAAGTTCCTGCTTTACGCTGTCTGCATCGCACTAGAATTTATCAATAGATATATACAGGCCATAGCAGTTTCTCGCGAGCCAGTCCCCTTCTTTCGCCAAATAAAGATGTCATGACTTTCTTTTTTCAGGTTTCATTACCTGGTGAAGTAATAGAGATAAGCTGTGGCTTGGACCATATGGCGGCCATCATAAGGCTGACTTGAATTTCACTGCCTTTTGTGACCTGCATGTTCACGGCCTCAGTTGGAGCAATTCATGCAAGAAGTGCAAGGAAGTTACAAATGAAAGTTTGCAACTGATGCTGTACTAATGTCAAAGACACACATGATTACAGAACTTTCATACGCAAGATTGATATTTAATTCTCGATGAATACGTGTTATTGCCTGTTGAGAGCACTGAACGCTGTTTTGATCACTTGTTTGCGATATTCAACAAAGGACTCCTTGATTGAAAGGATCCTTTCCTGAATCGAACAAAGCACACTTTAAAAAGACAATTTTTTGCCCTTGTTCTTTAAGACCATTTTATTTGTCTGCTTTCCTAAAGCAAAACCCAATCCTGTACAAGTGTAGGTGTAGCCATTCAAATGAAACTTACTGAGAAGTATTTCCCTATGGTGCTGTTTACTATGCTGTACAAGGTGGTTCAAACTGTGTACGAAACACCGAAGTTAGACAATTCAGATGAAAGCTGCTTAACAGTAATTTTCTGTGGTACTGTTTATTATGTTGTGCACGAATTTTTAAACTTATGATCCTATGGATGAAAAAGGCGTGACAATTCAAAAGGGACCTCTTCGGTCTTGCTATCTTGTTGTGCTGTATATAATCCTGCGGATAAAATCCAGCCCTGTGGCTTTTCTAATGAAAATCGACCTTTCAGGGTTCTAAAACAGTTTTTTTCGTTTTGTTTATCTTCGCCCATCGGTAATATGCCTCATTGGATCAGATGCCGTTCCTTCTTGAAGAGCCCTAAAAATANTGCATGTTCACGGCCTCAGTTGGAGCAATTCATGCAAGAAGTGCAAGGAAGTTACAAATGAAAGTTTGCAACTGATGCTGTACTAATGTCAAAGACACACATGATTACAGAACTTTCATACGCAAGATTGATATTTAATTCTCGATGAATACGTGTTATTGCCTGTTGAGAGCACTGAACGCTGTTTTGATCACTTGTTTGCGATATTCAACAAAGGACTCCTTGATTGAAAGGATCCTTTCCTGAATCGAACAAAGCACACTTTAAAAAGACAATTTTTTGCCCTTGTTCTTTAAGACCATTTTATTTGTCTGCTTTCCTAAAGCAAAACCCAATCCTGTACAAGTGTAGGTGTAGCCATTCAAATGAAACTTACTGAGAAGTATTTCCCTATGGTGCTGTTTACTATGCTGTACAAGGTGGTTCAAACTGTGTACGAAACACCGAAGTTAGACAATTCAGATGAAAGCTGCTTAACAGTAATTTTCTGTGGTACTGTTTATTATGTTGTGCACGAATTTTTAAACTTATGATCCTATGGATGAAAAAGGCGTGACAATTCAAAAGGGACCTCTTCGGTCTTGCTATCTTGTTGTGCTGTATATAATCCTGCGGATAAAATCCAGCCCTGTGGCTTTTCTAATGAAAATCGACCTTTCAGGGTTCTAAAACAGTTTTTTTCGTTTTGTTTATCTTCGCCCATCGGTAATATGCCTCATTGGATCAGATGCCGTTCCTTCTTGAAGAGCCCTAAAAATAAACAAAACATGAAAAAGGTTTTCATTTTATTTTCACTCACACTGAAAAATGTTCAGATGTGCTATTTATGACAGTTATGCGTCAGAAAGAAACATGTAATATAGTCGTAACTTTTTAGTTTGCGGACCAAATCGTACGTTGCGACCATTCAAATTAAGCCTCTTCAGTGTACTTTCACATGGTACTATTCATTCAGCGCGTAGTTCTAACTTTTGAGCCTGTGGATAAAATCCTGAGGTGTTACCATTCAAATGAAACCTCTTCAGCAGTACTTTCACATGGTACTATTTATTTGGTATGTTGTTCTAACTTTTAAGTCTGTGGATGAAATCCTATGATGTTACCATTCAAATGAAACCTCTTCAGCAGTATTTTCACATGGTACTATTTATTTAGTACGTTGTTCTTAACTTTTGAGTCTGTGGATAAAATCCTGAGGTGTTACCATTCAAATGAAACCTCTTCCGCAGTACTTTCACGTGGTACTACTTATTTAGTATGTACTTCTAACTTTTGAGTCTGTGGATAAAATCCTGAGGTGTTACCATTCAAATGAAACCTCTTCAACAGTACTTTCACATGGCACTTTTAATTATGCAAGCAGCTTATACCGTTGACTGGATGACTGGTCGTTCAAGGTGGTTTGGTCTCCAACCACACAAACGTGGCCTTTCATGTGGTTGTCGGTCTTGTGAAAGTGGTACTCTGGAGCAAGAAATAAAAGTAACAAGATGTATTAGCTAGTACTACAGTGGAACCTCGATATAAGGAATGGCCACTGGAATGGCAAAATTTGTTCTGTGTAACGAGGATTCCTCACTTCGAGGTTATTTTTCATATATTTTACTGTTAATGGGGTAAAGAAAATCGTTCGTCATTCGAAGGACTTCGTTATATAGGGTTTCGTTTATTAACGCTCCACTGTATCTGTTTAGCCTTTTATTAAGCTTAGTGGGCCGTGTTTCCCACTAACCACACTAACAAGTGGCTAAGTATTGTCGGAGACCCGGCGGGGAGGAGAGCAGTCGGGTTTTTGCCGCCGTTTTTCCCGACCCGATTGACAGCCCCTGGGTCTCCGAGGATGCTGGCTAAATTATTCGACTCCCAAAATGCAATAGAGTGCTAGTAGGCAAAAAACACGTCAATGAGGCTGCCCATCTTGCGGTTATAAGTTTGACATCCCTCCCTTTTAAAAACACAAAAACGTGCCTTGTAACCTAAATCCCAAGCCTTCTCCAGCTCCGTACTCGAAGGCCAGGTAACGCTTGTCAACTGGATAATTTATTTTTTTCCGAGGCATGATTCTCTTTCTTTTTGAATATCTTGCATTGTTATTTTGGGTTAACATAACTGGTCATAACCTGGTCTCTGAAAATTCGTAGTAAGCAATACTTGATATATTAAGCTTCAGTCACACGTTTCCAGACGGGGAAGTTTTGCTTCAAATTTGTGAGGTTAACGACAGGTACATGTAGGTAAAAGTTAACCATTTTTCAACCAACCCGAGCTATACGCGTTGCCTGTAAATCCCTCGGTGTCGAAAACATTTCGGCCACGTTCAACTAAACTGCTTTGCAATTGCACGCTTGGTTGTTTTTCAAAAACTATTAAATGTCTTGAAGGGAAGAAAATATACCCTCACAGAAGAAAAACGACGTGAAAATTAACTGCATTCAATGGAAGTTATTTTCCTTCACTTGGCTACAAAATCAGGGCGGCGTGCAAAGAATTTTGAGTGATTATTTGAAGAGAGCGTTATTTTAGTTCTTTAGGAATTCCGTCGCCATGGATAGAGGAACCCTGTTAAAGCGAAATGTAGCAAGTCTTCAGCANTAACGACAGGTACATGTAGGTAAAAGTTAACCATTTTTCAACCAACCCGAGCTATACGCGTTGCCTGTAAATCCCTCGGTGTCGAAAACATTTCGGCCACGTTCAACTAAACTGCTTTGCAATTGCACGCTTGGTTGTTTTTCAAAAACTATTAAATGTCTTGAAGGGAAGAAAATATACCCTCACAGAAGAAAAACGACGTGAAAATTAACTGCATTCAATGGAAGTTATTTTCCTTCACTTGGCTACAAAATCAGGGCGGCGTGCAAAGAATTTTGAGTGATTATTTGAAGAGAGCGTTATTTTAGTTCTTTAGGAATTCCGTCGCCATGGATAGAGGAACCCTGTTAAAGCGAAATGTAGCAAGTCTTCAGCATATTCGTTGATTAAACATAAACGATTCCTTTGATAATTCTCACCTATTTTCTCGCAATTTATTACTGTGTGCTTTCGCATCCCCTGTGTATCAAACGTATCCAATGGAAAGGTATTTCCAACACCGCTGGCCTGAACGAGAGCTGAGCGTGCCTCTTCAGCCAGTTCATCTGGACCTGTCAAACCTAATTATAAGCAAAGAAGCAATCCTACTTACTATAACTTCTTTATACCTTAACGAAGCATGTACATGTTAGTACTGTATCAGACACAGCAGACCGATTTCCAATCAGAAAATTCCGGTAAGCGAGAATTGGTGATGTGGACATTAGGGGTGGATTCATGTGAAAAATAAACGTATAGCCCGATGAAATTTGCAAAGCATTTAAGCCCTGAAGTCCCAAAAGTGAGCAAACATCAATTTTTACCTAAAAATCAATATATCAGCTAGAAAAAAGGTCACGAGAATTAATGAGGAAATACTTTAATCTTTTATCAAATTCTCTCAACTTTTTCTTTTAAGAAAATGTATGGGGATCAGTCTGGAGAGTGTGAATTGGTTAAAATTAAATTAAAAAAGGGGGTCTGTCGTGGCGAGTTGGTCTAAACTGAGCTGACAATATTACTAAGTATTCTCAGTCATCTTTTCTCTTAAGAGAGATATTAAGTGATTCTGTCAAAGAGAAAACAAAGCATGATTGGTTTTTTGGTCATTAGTCGAGCTTAACTTGAAAAAAGTTGCCCAATTTTTTCATGTTGCGATCCTTTTCCATCCTGGAAAAGGAAAAGCCAAAGACATACACTTCTAGTTGAGGTATAAATGTACAGTAATTTTAAAACTGAGTCATTATTTCAAGGTTTTCTTTTTTTCCAGTGAGTTTTTGCTCCTTTAAGCTTGAAAAATGAATCCACTCTAGGAAATATCATCGCTAGAACTGTTTACCAATCAACTTTTAAGAAGGAAAAGGCGACCTGTTTAATTAGCAATTGCAAAGCCAGAAAAGATGCAACATTGTACTGAGAGGAACATTTAGCGCAGTTTTACCAGAAGCTAACACGGTCCGCCTATAGCATATGTCTATGAATGTACACCATTGTCCTTTAGATATAAAAAATATATATATTACCCTTAAGTTGTACTTCTGGTATCCAGGCGCCATCAGCGGTGGAATCTGCAAAAGGTAAAAAATCACTGCTGTCTACAGAGACTGCCTCGGATCCCCACTTGTACACCAGGCGGAGACTCAAAACTGCATCCTTCTTCCCAGGAACAGAGCGCATTGCAAGGTGGCAAGGAGTGATTACCGACTTCTTGAAATCTATCAAGTCTTCACTCAATTCTCCCCTTAGTACGTCTAGTGCGTCAGAAAGTTTCTCCTTTTGGGTTGAACAAAGTACCATCCGAAAATTTTCAGAATCTTTATCTTTCTGCTTTGCCACGGTGACGCCACAAAAAGGCGTCATGCATTTGTCAAACACAGGTTCCCCAGAAGGACGAAGCAAAACCACTGACTGAAAGGCTCCAATTTTGCAAATAAGGCCATCGATGAGGACACATGCAACTGCATGAACCTGTAGCTCGCCATCCGATTCGTTCCTTATATAAAAATGCTGAGAGTAAGAGTCGTGATGCCTGTCGTACTTCAAATTTTCAATCGCTTTACAGTCCAGAAGCGCACCTGTTATGTCGAGGAGTTCAAACCTAACCAGCTTCGATGGGTCAAATTGAGCAAAGGCAATTAGGCTAAGAACCACATCAGAAAGATCTCGCACGAAAGCCTCGTCCTCAACATCCATCAATTCTAACATGATGTCTCTCAGATTGCCTGAAAACAGTTCTAATCTCGTGTGCAACCTAATATCTTGGGGGCAGTACTGGAAGAAAGGCTTGAGGAATTCCAGCATGGAAAGAAGAGCTAAGCCTTTGGCCCACCCTTCAATTTCAGCGGTAGCAATTAGGCTAAGAACCCCATCAGAAAGATCTCGCACGAGAGCCTCGTCCTCAACATCCATCAATTCTAACATGATGTCTCTCAGATTGCCTGAAAACAGTTCTAATCTCGTGTGCAACCTAATATCTTGGGGGCAGTACTGGAAGAAAGTCTTGAGGAATTCCAGCATGGAAAGAAGAGCTAAGCCTTTGGCCCACCTTTCAATTTCAGCGGTAGACCTCTTTCCACAATTTTCAAGACACAAATCTTCAAGAACTTTGCACATCTGACCTACTAGCGGCCGAACTTTGTTATTCCTCTCAGCATCTCGAACATCTGACACAAACTGTTCCAACACTTTATCCGGAAGGCCTCTCAGGCCATTTTGAACTTGTAAGATCTCTTTATAAACGTAAACATCTTTCACGGTTTGAATCAGTTGCGGAACTACCAAAACAAAACTTTTAATTATGAACTTAGGCGATCCAGTCGTGGGTGAGCATATTCGTTGGTAAATTAGCGCAACATCTTTGGGTAAGGCACCATGCATTTCCAGATAATCAACGTGGTTTGTAGAAGAGGCCGCTCTTTTTATCTTGTCCGAGAGATGTTCCAACTCAATGCAGCAGTCCCGAAACATCGACTTGCAAACGGTTTGAATTTTGCACTTAAGATTCTTCGCCAGATCAGAATTTTCGTGTTTTAAGCCAGAAATCGTGGCTGCAAGTTCTCTTAAGTGTCTGACATGCATCTGACCTCTTTGCGTGACTCTGCAAACTAATGAAATTGCAAGTGAAATGTACCTTAAATAAAAGTTATTGTGTGAAATTTCAGACATTAACAGCCAGGAAACATTCTTGTGCAGTGAAACGTCGAGATAACTTTATCTTTTTGAGACTCCACTGTGACGTAACGTGGTCATCAAATTTGATAACCATCCCGGACTGTGTCACATTAAGAAGCGTCCAACATCTCCCTAAAAAGTCTTTGATGTCCAAACGCCTTATGAAAAAGTGAACATTTATGGTGCAATGTACACATGATGAAGAAGTTGAACATTACATTTTTAGACCCCGTTTATGTAAAGAAAACTTGTCCCAGGTGGAAGGGTTACTTACCGACCCGAGTTACCCTAAGCGAGCCAACTTCGCCTATATTTCCCTACAAAACGTGGAAACAAAACGTTGACTCGGCTAGAAGGGTGACACACCTAGCCGATTGACCCTTTTTCGATACTAGAGTCACCCTCCTCGGCAAACTTTTCTCCATAAACACTTGGCTCACCCAGCAGGGTCAACTCAGTCATGTCGGTGACATTTCATTTCTCGTGTTGGCGCAAAGATATGGAATGAGATGCCAAATAGCTTTAAACTCATATCAAGGAAGTCCTTCAGAAAAAAAAACTTAAAGGAGCTTTATTAAATATACTGAAAACCGAAGACAGCTAAGTATATAGAGTCTATATAGATAGCGACAAAATCATGGCCAGACTTAAAAAATATTAACTTAGAACTCTTCTCTCTATAATTATGTAACTAGTACCTATCATCATAATTGTTTCTTATTTTTTTGTCCTTTGATTAGTTTTCCTTTTTTTGGTTTAATGTGGAACCATATTACTTATTCATTTCTCTCCTTTTTTTTATAAAAACTGTTATTTTGTTAATCTCTTTTTTTGACATCAGTAATATTTTAAAACTTGTGAGACTGACCGGCCTCGATTAGTTTTAGCTACCTGCAGGTCCGTCAGATTGTATGTAATAGTCTTTTACATGTACATATAATAAATAAACTTGAAACTTGATAAACTTGTCGGTCAAAGCGAGACAATTAGAGCATCCGCGAGTGCAGTTGGCTAGGGCAAAGGGATCAACTTTGTCATCATAAAACGCTCGCTGACGTTGAGCCGTCTGGAAGGGTGACTCCTCTTTCTGGGTCAAGGTTTCTGTATAGCATCGTCAACATTTAGAACTAAGGTCACACTAGGCGATAGGTCCTTTCAGGTGGCTGCGCCCAAGTTATGGAATGCTCTTCCGCGTGAGCTTCGCGATATTCCAAACTTGCATACTTTTAAGAGCAATCTTAAGACGTATCTTTTTAAGTTTGCTTATGGTTTGAATGAATTTTAATTGTTACATATCGATATTTTACATTTTTATGGCGGAAGTGTATATTTTTTTATTGTTTTGCTTATTGTAAATAGGTTTGTAGTTTTTAAGGCGCATTTGATCATTTTTATGAATACCTGCGCAATATAAGTGATTAAGTTATTCTTTTTCTTATTCTTACTCATTCTTATTCTTATTCTTATTCTTATTCTCATTCTCATTCTTATTCTTATTCTTATTTTTATTCTTATTCTCATTCTCATTCTTATTCTTATTCTCATTCTTATTCTTATTCTTATTCTCATTCTCATTCTTATTCTTATTCTTATTTTTATTCTTATTCTTATTCTTATTCTTATTCTCATTCTCATTCTTATTCTTATTCTTATTCTTATTCTTATTCTTATTCTCATTCTCATTCTCATTCTCATTCTCATTCTTATTCTTATTCTTATTCTTATTTTTATTCTCATTCTCATTCTTATTCTCATTCTCAATCTTATTCTTATTCTTATTCTTATTCTCATTCTCATTCTTATTCTCATTCTCATTCTCATTCTTATTCTTATTCTTATTTTTATTCTTATTCTTATTCTTATTCTTATTATATAAACGGTGCCTTAGTTATTTTCTCATAATCATACCCATTACTTCCAAACAATGCACTTTAACTACCCTTAATTTTTTCGTAAAAAATGGAACTGCAGTGACGAAGACACCTCCTCTTATCTGTCTTATCCTTGTTATATCGAATTTAAATTTGATTCAGGGGCACCCTACGAGAATATAGTTCAAAACCACTTAAACATAGCATTGTTAAACGTTTTTTAGTATTTAAACGGTAGATATAGGCATATTTTTATCCCCTAAAATTTTTCATCTGTTTGGATTTCCTAGCTGTAAGTCTAGTGATCCGAAAGTTATAGGGATCAAAACTTATCTTTCGAAAATTTCAGCCAGAAAAAAAAGGCTCCCGAAAATTCTGGGCAACCTTTTTAGGGTAGAAATCCGTTAAAAATGGGCAATTATACCATGTTTTAGACGTTCGAAAATCCAAGGAGAGGCAGACAAGCAAGAAATTTTACAACAAATGTTCCGAAAATTCTAGATCTCAAATCGTCTTCTGAACACATATTTTGCAAAAATTGACGTTGAGTGCCCCTGTTGATTCTCCTGTTAAGCAAAGGAGAAAGACATAAACAATCAATTAACAAGCATATAGAGAAGGAACTAAGCTTACGTCAACTAACCGTGCCGTAGACCTTCAAGATCTTTTCTTAAAGCCTGGTGACCGTCCAAAACTTCGTTTTCATTCCTCCAGTACTGCAGCATTAACTCCAGCTGTTGGTCTTCGTTCTTCCAGGACTTCAGAACTTGATCAACTCGCCCTGTAGGCATCATTAACTTCTGGGCAATCGGTCGGAAGTTACAAATTTCACCCTTTGCTCCCATTACTTCCATCACATATCCATTCAGATCTGTAACAATAAATTTTATCAATTCTAGGGGTAAGAAATTAAAACAGCATGTGCAATTATTACCTGGAGTTTGCAAACTGGCCTTAACCTCCTATATATTTCTCCAGATAGGCCCTGTTTACTGAAAGGATTTTATTTTTGGCCGCGATGTTACTTTTTTGGGTTTCCCAATACGTCTGCCTCTTAAGCCCGCTAACAAGCTCCCGTGGGTGAGTTAGGGGGGGAGGGCGTCCTGTCTTTCCACCCACCGTGTCCTCCCTCGAGAGCTTGCTAGCAGGCTATTCACACTATTGCGGTGGGTCTCAGTAGGTCTTTTGTTACAGAATGAATCTCGGGTCGATGGCTTATTCATGCATTCGACCTCAGTAACCGGACAAATTCATTCAAAATTTGCCTGCATGATATGGATATGAATGTTAGACAAACGTAAAGCAAGTGACACACGGACACCACCAACAGACTGGCCAGTACCTCACGCAAGCCCACGGCCATGCCGCACGGCTATGTCATGCTGATGTGCCCTTATAAGGGAGAAACAGCTGGCCATGGTTGACACTGCCCAGGTGATATGGCTGTGCGCATGTTTGAGGTACTGGTGAGGCCATGGGTTTTCGTGGGTTGGTGTCCTTATGTAACTCGCTTTATCTTTGTCATATGCATGTTTTATGGAAGGCCCACGTTCGGAACGTTGACCTCTATGGAAATATCCCCTTGCTATCCGCAAAAAAGAGCACACAGGTTCCAAATGGCTGATCACTGCATTAGGCAAGAGGACTTGCAAGTGAATGGGTTGTTCTTGTTAGAGCTTACAACAAGGCTAAGCTTCACGTGGGAGACAAATGCTAACTTACGTTGACTCCCGCAAAATGGACACTAGTCTTGCCTTCTCGAAAGAATTAAAAGCAGGCATATAGGATAGTAACGTGTGCGGCGCGCCATTGCCCAAGGAGACTTGATAATGATGATAATGATGGTGAGGGGGGCATGGGTATGGACAGATGATCATTTTGTAAATCGTCGCCGCCATTATTATGACGTAAATACTAATGATCACTAAATCATTGTTGTTGCAATCATTATATAAGACGAATTGTTAGTGAATAACTTACCCGTTTCGCAAAAATGCTTCTGGCTTCTATGTCCGTATTGTCCCTCTATACTGATCTTTCCGCAAAGAATTCTGACATCTCTGGTGTTTCCTAGAGAAAGTTTAATAACGTGTCCCGTGTTCCACCAGACATACGACTCGACAGCAAAATGAAAATTATAACTTTCACTGTCAAGAAACTTATAGTCTTCCCCAAGGCAAATAGAAACTTGAAGGCTCTCACTATTGTAGATGCGTTTTTCATCCTGTTCACCGATGGAACGCACATGGACTTCGGTGAATCCTTGCGCCTTCAACTGCACCAAGGCGGAGCTCTCGTGATTTCTGTAGAAAGTTTCGTTGAAAACGTCTTGGCTTACAAAAAGAAGAACTAGTTCATCTTTCTGCGCACTTACCAACGCTGTCATCGCGAAACTGAATGCTAACAAATTAAATCTTGTTACGATGTCTTTGGTGCGGATCACAGACAATCTCAGAAATGCTGCAATTATTGAGAAACCTTTAATCTCAATGGTTACCCGTACAC